AGGAATGGCTCTGTGCCGGGCACTCACCATTGTTCTGTGTCTGCCAGACGGCGTCGGCCGCCCCCCAGAGGCCCGAAAATGCAAAGAACAAAGGCAGCTGGCGGGGGTGAGGTTTCCACAGCAGGAGGGCGATGATGCAAGACATGTGGGTCGCGGCACCTGTGAGCGGGGAAAGGGGCTTCTCTCAGACACTCTGTGCTACAGGTCGAGTCTTCTGATCATTTGCTTCCAGGCTGGAATGATGTTTCCTAAAATAATCCAGACTGATTTCTTCAGGTGGGTTTTGACGTGGCACACAGAGACTGCAGGTGAAATGCGGGGCACGCCTGGCAGGTGTGCGATTCCATCCACCTCTGGCCTCCACATCATCGGGTGGGGGGCCTGGGGGTGACACACCTCTGTGTCTTAGAGGAAAGTGTCGCCTTGCTGGGCATGGGGGGCCCCAGATTATGGGGGTTCAGAGTGGGAGAGAGAAGGGCTTCCTCATTAGGAGCGAGTGGTGGGACCCCTGCTTCTCACTGAGTAGGGGGCATGAGGAGGGGACAGGAAGGGGTGCCCCCAGCCGGGGAGCTGGGGCTTCCAAACGGGACAAGGAGGGAGAGGCTGGGGGAGAACTCCCTCATTCCTCCTGACTTTATCTTATGAGTCCTAAGCCCTGGCCTCGTGATTCTGCAGACACTGTGATGTCCCTCGAATGTGGGAACAGAGCAGCTTATGACCCTCAGGGACTGCCAAGGAGCAGAAACAGCAGGTGCATCCCGGGTTCTCCGAGGCTGTGTGACCTTGGGCAAGTTACTCTGCTTCTCTGTTCTCTCCTTAATATAAAGCAAATTACTTGGCCCCCAGTGAGCACTGACCAATGGTTAATGTGTTCCCTCCCCCTTGCTGCATCACCACAGACCCTTTGGGCCTTGACTGGGCCACCAGGTAGCTGCCTCCTTAACACCCTCATTTCTCCTTATTCATGCTGTCTCTGATCCTTCTTGCTTCCTCAAGAAAAAATAGAAGGTGATGTCCGTTTAGAAGACCAGCTTCATCCACCACGTGAACACAGACCTCCTCCTTCTGGAAGGCTCCCTGTCTTCTGCCTGACCCCATGGCCCCCACTGCGGGTGTGGGCCCCCCTTTCTGTGCCTCCACCAGACCCCGTCCTTACTCCAACCATGGCCCTCATCACACACGCTCTAATCACCCGCAGTGGAGCCAGACCTGCCCCAGGACTGCGTCCACTGTGCGTTCACGGTCCACCTACCCAACGCGAAGAGAGCGGTCCTGCCCGTGTACTGGGCCAGCTTCCCATACAGCACGGAGCACAGTGCGTTGACAGCTGAGAAGCAGATCATCACGTAGCCCACGAACTGGATCCCCAGGGCGCAGGTGACGTAGGACTGGAGGGGAAGCACAGACCAGTCACCTGCGCTGCCTCAGGCCTGCTCCAGGGCTGAGCTCTGAAGTTGCAGTTTGGGGGTTCACTTTGATCCGGGAATACAGCCCATGCTAAAACGCTTTCTGCCCTGTGACTCTGGCCTGCTAAGCTGGCCCGAAAGCTTGTCCGGGCCCCCCGCTCCCAGGGTGGAGAACACTGCTGGCGCTTGTAGGAAAACCCTCTTCTGAGTAAGAACTAACAGGGAACGCTTTGGATGGATGTCTGGCAAAATTCTCCCCGCGTATCTGTACCATATGTTATTTATACAAGGGCGAATCTGAACTCTGCTTGCTGGTGTGGGTCATTTCCCATCCTGCCTATAAGACAGCTGGGTGAGGACAGAGCCGGGGAGTGAACAGGCAGAGCTCAGGGGATTTTTAGGGCCTTGAAACTCCTCTGAACGATACTGTAATGATGGCTTCATGTCATTATGCATCTGTCCAAACCCTGAGAATGAAGAGCACCAAGAACGAGCCCTCAGGTAAGCTGTGGACTCGGGGTGATGACGATGTATCCATGTAGGTTCCTCGGTTGTAACAAATGGACCCTCTGGAGGCGGGCAGCAGGCGAGATGTGCCCGTGCGGGGGCAGAGGGTACGCGGGAATTCTCTGTCCTTTCCGCTCAGTTTTGCTGTGAACCTAAAACTGCTCTAAGAAAATAAAGTCTTAATAAAAAAGAAGATGGAAGGAACAGGAAGGGAATCTCCATAGAGATGAGAAGAGGAAGCACTCCTGCAGCGACTCGGGGGCAGGGCTGGGGACAGACAGGAGACTGGCTAGGAGGCCCCTTGCATCCGGATAGCGGCGGGGACTGTTTGTCATTCTGTCTTCATTCTTTGAAACTCCAAGACCCCAACAGGACTGTCTTAAGAGCAGGGTTGCCAAAGAAACTCTTGGGTGTCCAAATACTCAGGGCCATACTTACACTGAGAGATATTTGTGGTTTATCTGAAATTCAGATTTTTACCCTGCCTTTTATCTTGCCCATTTGGCAAGCCTTCCCGGGAGGGAGCTGGGGTGGGGATGGAACAGGAAGTTTCCTGGATGAGAAGGGTGGTCCTCAGGGGCGGAGCCCCTCGGACACAGGCCGACGGGTCCAGCCTTGACCCTGGCTGTCTCCAGCTCCCACCAGGCCAGGCTTCTCTTCCCCACAAGGACCCTAACTCTAACATCTCCGTCTATGGCTTCCCTTCCACGGCATCCCAGAAGGTTCTTCAGGACAGGATCCCACCTGGGCAGGGGAACTAGGGAGACAGAGGCTCAGGGAGAGACCCTTGATGGAAGGTGGTCGGCCAGACATGGGTCACGCTTGGTGTCCCGTGTTGGGGCACCACTCCAGCCTCCCCCAAAGAGGGCGCCCCTTTAGGCACAAAGTGGGAAGGCAGTGCAGGGGTCAGGCGGGCATCCAGGGAAGGAGTGTCTGAGTAGCCAGGGTGACCAGGCTGAGACCAACCTCCATTTCTAGATTGTAACGCATCATTTAAACACTAGGTAATGGGCAGAAGACCTAAACAGATATTTCTCCAAAGAAGACGTACAGATGGCCAAGAGGCACATGAAAAGATGCTCAACATCACTCATCATTAGAGAAATGCAAATCAAACCTACAATGAGATATCACCTCACACCAGTCAGAATAGCCATCATCAAAAAGTCTACAAACAACAAATGCTGGAGAGGGTGTGGAGAAAAGGGACCCCCTTGCACTGCTGGTGGGAATGTAAACTGATACAGCCACTATGGAGAACAGGATGGAGGTTCCTTAAGAAACTAAAAATGGAGTTACCATATGATCCTGCAATCCCACTACTGCGCATATATCCAGAGAAAAACATGGTAGGAAAAGGCACGTGGACCCTAATGTTCATTACATCCCTGTTTACAATAGCCAGGACATGGAAACAACCTGCTGATGTCCATCAACAGATGAATGGCTAAAGAAGATATGGTACATATATACAATGGAATACTACTCAGCCATTAAAAAGAATGAAATAATGCCATTTGCAGCAACATGGATGGACCTAGAGATTATCATACTAGGTGAAGTAAGTCAAAGACAAATATCATATGATAATGTGTATGTGCGATATCTAAAAAAATGATACAAATGAACTTATTTACAAAACAGAAACGGACTCACAGACTTAGAGAACGAACTTATGGTCACCAGGGGGAAAGGGTTGGGGGGAGGGATAGACCGAGAGTTTGAGATCGACAGACATGTACACACTGCTGTATTTAAAATGGAAAACCAACAAGGACCTACTGTATAGCACAGGCAGCTCTACTCAATATTCTGTAATAACCTAAATGGGAAACGAATTTGAAAAAGAATAGATACGTGTATATGTATAACTGAATCACTTTGCTGTACACCTGAAACTAACACAACATTGTAAATCAACTATATTCCAATAGAAAATAAAAATTTTTTAAAAACTAGGTAATAAGGATTTTCAGTGTTATTCGTGGATTTCATGGTTTTCCCTATTTTTCGCTCTAAAATGAGGACACAGGGTGAGATGCAGGCAAGTAAGTGTCCCTGCAATGACTCCGGAGCAGCTTTGGTCCTTTCCCTGAAAGCACATCTCAGGTGAGGGGTGTTCCCAGGTGGGCTGATGTCCTAACCACACGGCAGCTCTCCTGAGGCCGGGAAGGACCCAGCGCAGCCCCGGACCCCGTGCCGGCCCCGCCGGCCTCCTCTCCTACCCGCGTGTAGTCGCCGGCCAGGAAGGCTTGCTGGAACCCGCAGTACAGTGGCAGCAGCGCCAGGAGGCACAGGCGCTTGTCTCTGAACAGCTTGATCGTCGACAGCAAAGTGGACCAGAACGGTGGTGCTTGCTTCTCTCCCTCACTTTTCTGCTGAGCATCTTTTACGGGTTCCAGAAACACGGCGGTGACCAGGACCGCCAGGAAGCCGCTCCCTGAAAGGACGGGGGGGGGGGGGGGGGGGGACGCGAGG